GAGAGAATACAACTTTTACCGATAAGAACTTTTCCAAGCGTTATAGTCGTTTAATCATGAAGTTTTGTTTGGTGGGTCTGCTCGTTTGCGCCTGATTAGCCGAGCAAATACATCCAACGACAGAATCTGGAAATATGCCAGGAAATTGGTTTAAGTTCCTAACCAAAAGAATTTTTACAGAACTAATCATTTTAATTTCAATTGATATAAGAGCGCTTCTAAATCTAAACCTGAATAATATCTCAATAGCTCGTGCATTAGTTTATTTTGATTTCTATGATAGTCCCTAAAATCAATTGAAACGACTAATGAACATTCATGACAGTCGCGTCACTGACAGGGAAACGGAAACTATTTTGTGCTACGGTCATACATTCATTGAAGGTATATATATTTAACAATTAAAAATCGCTCTATATAGCTTCATTGTAAAAGAAAACCAATAAAATCGGTGTTTTGTTACCACAGTTGAGAATTGGAATCGTGTCACAGTCTGCTAGCTAATTGGTTATGGTGGCTCATTGCTATCGTGTCACAGTTTGCTAGCTAGTTGGACACGGTGGCTTTTATGGTGGCTCAATGCTGTCTGCTAGCCCTTCTCGACCTCTGCTGTTCGCCAAATTCAAAAACATGAATGAATTTCCTAGAGTATAAGAATTTTTAACACCCTATACAGTGTGATAGCGTAAACCCCGGGTTCTCGAGTGCACGGCTTCGGATAACAAATTAATTCGTTTATACCAAAATATCTAGATCAAATTTTTATTAAGTAATTAAGAATTATTATTCATCATTTTATAAATAACACTTAAATCAACAAGGAAAGAGCTTTATAAATTATTTTTAACCAATCGGAGAGCTGGTAAACAATTAATGTTGAATACCATTACAATTAGATTGAAATAGCATTAACGAATTCTTCAGGTCTAAAATATTCTAAATTTTTTGAACACACATGCTGTAAACAGATTGTCAGGAGTGTTGAGTGTAAACCAAAGGGTAGGGATGGTGACGCATATTTCGTGATGGACCACTTATTGAGCACTACTAACTTTCCGATTTAATTGGTAATTTTAACCCGCGTGTTAGAGTTTATAACTCTATATTCCATGAATATTATTTTTTAGTAATCTTTTCTCTATAAACGTCCATAGTGTAGCCCATCTCCCCTATACGAGCCCTGAGTGCACAATTATCATTCCACTTCCACTTTCTCTTGGTAAGTCTACAGTGGAACTTACTCCATATTCATCCTTTCATCACAAACCTCTAATTAACCCATTCCCCCTCCTTTCCGAAGTACAATAGTTTTAGTACCATATCCATTTTCTTGCCTACACCCCATTTCTCTCCGTGCAATAACTCCTTATAATAGTCCCCATCCCACCCCTCCCTTGCTCTTGGTAACTAACCCCTTACTTCATTTGCATCCAAATTGACATATCACCAACCTCTACATGTGTACAAATCAACCCACTCCCCCTTCTTTTGTTAAGTACATAGTTGAAGTACCATCACCAATCTCTCATCTTTACCTACACAATCTATCGTTATTTTAACATCAACTAAAACCAATCTTACAAGTAAAACCATAATTAAAACGTGGAATTAAATCGGTTTAAAAACCATCGTCTTCCAAGGTTTCTGCTTTACGCAATAATCTTTCCCTCGGCATCTAATCCTCGTCGAACTCGGAGTTCAAACAAATTAAAGAGAAGATAAGCGTGGGACGGTTTATTACAGAGTCATAAAAAAGAAGAAATCGTATAAAATGAAAAGAAATGTGATTGAAACTGGGTACAAGGGTTAACGTATGGTTTTGTTATAGAGAGGCTATTCTGGTACCGACTATTGGTTAAATCTCTCTCAACTCGAATCTTTTCAAATGTCATTTCCATTAGTCTTTTATAAACCAGAACTACTTCACTATTTCAGTAAAAAAAAATTAAAGTGCTGGTGGGTTTTGACAGTGGGTTAAACGTAAACGAAGAAAATGTGCTAATCAGACTTCTATGGGCATGTGGAGTTGCATGTATCCCGAATATGGGTTTTGACAGGTCTGATAGTGTATCGTTTGGACACGGTGATCGAGTTGACAAACCCACATGTCAAATAAAAAATATTAATGCAGACTCTCTATTAAAATGAATGCCGCATTGTCCCACACGGATACCAAACAGATGGTGTAAGCAATATTAACTATTTGGAAAAACAAAAAAACAAACCATGTATCCAAAATAACATTATTAGACGTGGACTTTCAGAAAGAGATGTAAAGTTTACAAATCCCTTGAAAACAGTTTTAACAATGAGGCATCTCTTAAAGGTGTGACAAAGAATTGACAAACCCACACATGCATTCGAATAAACATGTCAAAATTCTGTAAGGGATGTCAAGTTCACAAACATGAATACAAAATTAAATGCTCGGCAGTTTCTGTTGGGGTGTGTAGGGAAAAAAGGAATTAACTAGTAGCAAAGACTCCATCAACCACGTACTATACGAGGGGTGGGGTAGCCCTTGGAATTTAATATTTAAAGTACAGTTCATTATACGGAAATTGTCGGATTCGCAAGAAATTGTGAAATCGTTCCATTCAATTCACATGGAGAGACCTTTGGCATCATGTTAAAGGCGACTGGAACATTCGTTTGCATTTTTCGTGCATTAGCTTTGTCGATCCTCAGATAGGGATGTTAGATGTACAATCCTAAATACCAAATAAAATATTAGTCATGTGGATCCTTGGAAAGGCATCAAATATAGCTATGTGAATTCCTTCCAAAGAATGCCGAATTGACAAATGACCAATATTAGTTAAGTAGACTTTCGGAAAAGAAATGTCTATTTGACAAACCTGTTTACCATCACGCGGACTCTCTAAAAAGACTAACCTAAATAGGCAAATTAAAACTATTACCTACGTGAAGCTTTCTGAAAGGGGCATGGGATTGACAAACTTAAATGAGATTTCACATTATTAGGTGTCAAAATATCGAATATTAATAATATAGCAAAGTGGTTACTCTGAAATTCATGTCAATGACAAACCTAAATAGCCAAATAACACTACTTACGATGTGAAAACTCGGAAAGAGATATGAAGTTGACAAACTGTTTTTGTCGAGGAATGAGCACTGTCTTGCATATATCATTATATGCCCACATTTTATTCTTTTGCCTCTGTCCCTGCCTGTTCGTTTACCATTTCTTGTAAAAGCGACACAAAGTTGGTCAAAAGTTACTATGTTTTTATGCATAATGACATCGCATTTTTTTAGTCATTGCAAATTTACAATATAAGCAATGTAGAATTGCTGAAAGGGATGTCAAGTAGACAAACCTAAATACCAATTAGATAATATAAGCCATTTAAATCTTCTGAAAGGGATATATGGATTTAACCTTATTAGCTATCCAAATATCACATATTATTAAAGCTAAGTGGACCTCTGATATGTCTAATTGACAAAGCTAAATACCAACACTTTAATTTATGTGAACTCTCTGAAATGTCCAAATAAACACTATTAGCTATGTGAACCCTCTGAAAGACGAACGAAAGAATACCAAAGTCTCAAAGCCTGTCGGAAAATCCATGGACAGGACAAAATCGGGTGAAAAATCAATCGGTAAACAACATCCCGGAAATGAAACTAAATAAATGTGGACCTATAGAGAGAGGTAGGGTCAGATGTTCCATAAAGAGTGAGCATACTCCCGCCAATATCTAGATAATCAGTTTTAAAGTAGGGGAATGAGATACGCAGTTGACAAATCACGCAAGTGTTTTTGTAGAGGAAATAGGACTGAGAATGTCTTACACACGCCCACTTCATGGTGTAGACATATAATGCCGCTGTTCCTGTTACCTTTTCTAATAAAAGCGATACTAATTACATCTTTACATCAAAATTTGATATGTTTGTATTCAAAATGACACCCCTTTTTTTTTAGTTTTTATTTTATGTTTTTGTCATTGCAAAAGTGGCATGTTCGTCTAGTCTGAATAGTTTTTGTTTAAGAAAATACAATTTTCTGAGGCTGAACTAATGAATTAAAAGCTAGCAACAACTCTGATACATAAAAAAACAATATTGTATTACATTTGACATCATCTTTAATCAATTTTAAAACTTATCTTGATGTATATTTGATTTGGAGAAATGACAATTTATAAATGACATTAATATTGCCCTCCCTGGAGACAGGCGCTTGTTTTGAATACCACCAACGCTCGTCTCTAGGCCTGGTTAATGTTGACACGATACAAAAGGTTAAAGTATTACAGAGTCAGATAAGATCAATATTAAAACATGCTACCAGGGAAATCAACTTGAAAACTTGAAAAATGTCTACTTAGTAATGAATTAAAGTTTCACTGTCTGTAACGAAATTAGTTTCCTAAAGTCAATGAACTCTAATTACCAATCTGACAAAAAATGCAGATCTATATGTTTCGTTTCGTTTTATTCTGCAGGAGTTTGATTGGTTAGCTACGACAACTTTTGGCTCGAGAATGTCCAATCCCATCCAAATGTGATCCTTTTAAATCTGATCTTACTTACATCGTAATTTGTTTACATTCTGGAAGTTGACGTCCCCCCACCCTCCTTCCAAAAACACATATTAACTCTACTGTCATACAAGTCAATACAAAACCGTATTTCAGTTTCTATCTATTTTACTATTCTATCACCGGCTTCCTATAATGAGATTTCTAATCATCAAGTGTTAATATAATTAAACAATATCATATCCACTCTCATCATATTCGCCCTCTCAAGCCAAATAAACGGTCTGCGATAATCACTTCACGGAGTTTATAAAATTACAAAGTCATTATCAATCTCCCTATAGAGGTTAATCAGAAATCAGGGGCGAATTCCAATTTCCATTGTTTTATAACTTCTTACTCTCCTTAACAGGGTTATATATTCTATATCGTCTGCGCAAATAAGCGTACTTATCGAATTGTAGCCCATTGTAGCCTTGCAGGATGCCGATGCTTCTGGGGAAAATTGCAGAAAATAATGTCTTTATAAACAATGTTTTTGTTTCAGCAAAATATGAATCCCAGTTGAAAGGTAGTTCAAATCAGTAATCTGACGGGAAATAAAAGGTATCTCAAATGGAAATTAGCCCATGCGTGAAAAAGCCCCGTTATATACCCCTTTATACAAAATTTATGATACATCTAATAAAAAGATTGTATGGTCGACATCGCAATAAATCTGATAAATCATATGCAAAAAAAGAATCGATGCACGATACACTAGAAAACTCATTTAGGGTTCAATAATTTCGGATAAGTCTAGGTCAAATCCTTGTAGAATTGATCGATGCCATACACCATAGATATTTCAGATCGCCCTACAACATACTCGGTAGTTGAACGTAAAACTTTTATTCGGTCCTATAAGTTGTTTTATGTAATGTATAAATATATCAAATATGTTTAAATCGACTGACAATATACATAATAAGATACACACTTTCAAGCGAGAATATTCTGTTGAACATAATGGAGTAAATACATTAAATGTACTTCTCGATATGAAGAAAAGTACCCAGGGTACAAATTGATGATCCCTGCTGAAGAACAAAACTATTTTCACGGTAAACTGGGGCTTTTAACTTCAATTCTGTCTACTTGTAATTTTAATCATCATTTCATATATTTTCAGATCGCCCTACAATCTACAGTCGAGAGTCGCCAAGTAAAAGATCTGATAGATTTGTCTCCTTCTCGAGATTTATGGCGAGACAAAGTCCTCGATATCGAGATGACCAGCTTTTTGTTGAAAAAATGTTCCGATTATTTGATATGAATGGTAAGTATTGAATAATTGTTTCACTTATAAATGTATTTCTGACATACAAGCTTATATGAGATCTGAAATGACAATCAGCACAGGGCTATCACTATCTTTGTGTCCGTTCATTCCGTTCCATTCATGTGCAGTAACAAACCTTAGTCACCAGCTTCAGTTTAGTCAGTAGTTTCACAACTCATCCACTATGCCAGGGCTTCTTTAATTTATGAAGACTTTCTGGAAAGAGATCGAGTTTTGACACATAGATTTCAAACTTCATTTAGAAAATTTTATGGTCGTTATAACGAACTTCTGGACAAATGTTACAAATCTGTTTCTTGTATCTTGGTCGATTTGGTTGTTGAGGCATAGATTGATCTGATTGTATCTCATGATGTTGACCTGTACAGTAGGGCAGGTGTTGCGTGCGAAGCAGACCATGCTTACTCTGTTTGTACTTCAATTTGGAGGATGGCACTACTACACTACCTATACTCTCTATTTTGATATTCTTTGGACGAGATTTTGATGAACGGAATTGTCTTGCTTGTACGGCTTTTTATTTATCTCAGTCCGAAACAAGACGTTTACCTGCTACTTAATAGTGAAACGGGGTAGAGAATGTAACAGTTTCGGACGAGTTGAAAATATGCTGAATAGGCCTTAGCATTGTACTTTGAAAAATTTTGTAATTTCAGATGATGACGTGATAGAACGCGATGAATTCAGAGCCATTTTACAACTTTTTGGTATTGTTAGTCATACTTTCTGACCAGCTTCAAACCTACGTTAAAATGACAACCAAACACTTATGTGGCTTCCAATGGATCATGGCCTACCATTTCACACAATCAAGAAGACATGCGCAGAGCTCGTCTTTCTGGAATAAACGTCATATCAGGTATGACGGAGGAGAACTAAGGGAAGGAAGTGAAAGGGCAAGGTCGATTAATCGTCTGTCCTGCTGTGTCGGTACAAAATATTGTGATTCTAAATCTGTGACGCCATTTTGTTTTCATGGCAATTCTAAAGCGACGCGTCCGCATCGGAAATGGTTTTTGTGGACTTCAAAATACTGTCTGGATGAACTCGTTTACACATCAGTACGTCTGGATATACAGGACCCTATAATGTGACGGTGACCAAAGCTTATCAAAGCTACCATGACATTTTAAAAGAGAAAGAAAAAAAACTATTTTTGAATATTTGTGGATATTTGCTGTAAATGTATAACAAATGTTGTTACTTTATGTTTTATTTTTTGGCGAACGTGCAATCTTATTTATAAGCGGTTACAAACTAGTGACCCAATATTGAGTTGTGATTATATATTCAAACAGTTGGGCGTGGTTTAAATGTGAATGGGTTTGAGTGACAGACAAGAACGTGATAACGTTCTATTGGATCTGGGCCTACTGTTTATTCAGTTTACTATTTCGCGAAATCTTTCTTTTTTCTGTTTTATTTTTTTCTTTTTTATCATCTGATTGGAGACCTATAATTATTACTATTAGTATAACTATTATTTGTATTATTATTATCATTACAAAAAGCTGACTTCAATTTCTTATTCCAAATGCTACAACTATCTTTTTTTTCTTCTGAATTTCAATGTTCGCTGTTTATTTTTTTTTTTGAAGATGAAATGGCGGAAATATTACTTATTATTAAAATTGTTGTTTGTTGCTGAACGTGTGTTTATTAATGATAGCTTTATCGTCACAACCATATTTCGTACATTGAATATGAATCGGGGTAAAATAGCTTTAGATGCATGCAAAATAGTTTTTTTTGTTATCAGATACTATTGACTTTTGTTTACATCCCATTTTCCCCATGTACTTCTTGAAATTCCAGACAAACTTGGTTTTGACGTCATCAACTGGGATTGTCTGGAATCGCAGGAACACATACGTTATTGGACGGAAATTCGGAATAATGCAAATCGATTGTCCGCAATACATATACAAAGGTACAAACACCTTTTGTTATCATCTAAAATATGTTCTTTGGTGGTATACGAATGCCTTTTTGGTGTTTGGGCTTGACAGTTTTCTATGAAGATAGGCTATAATTTTGAAACCACTTGTTAACTTTGTACCAGAATAACACTGCAGAAAGGTGAAGGTTACATCAATTTTGTTAACATCTAGACAGACAACACTAATGGCGCAAACCTCATTTTTATAAATTTAACTTTTTTACCAGATTTTTCAATCACATTTGCCAAAACACACACGCTAAAAACATCGAGAACATCGCTGTAGAGAGGCTTATCATGATTCCTTATCAACACCAAGCACAACTTCAAAGACAAAAGACGAGGCAATTTCTTTACAACACACACTTTTTCACTTGAAAAGAAAACAAAAAACACGTCTCGCCTCGTCAATAAGCACCGAAACAGACGAAGTCATTAATTTAAACGCACCCTGTAAAACTATCATCACTTGGGGGGCCTCTTATAGAAAATTAATTCTCACTCTTTATTACACGATAGCTGATTGTTCTGTTAATTGGAGGGGATTAAAAACTGGGGCTATAGACATACATGTTAGAAATGAATGGAAATTCTTCGTATTTTGTCTTGAGCATCAGAAAACCTGTGTTTGATGAGGTGTAGGTAATATCAACCTCACCCAATTGCATTCAACTGGTGCTAATGATGCTCCATTCATAAAGGGGTACTGTGGTCAAAATAGTTCGTTTACCACCCGTGTCCCTACTTGTAACCTAGGCCAGCGCTTCTATAAGAGAGTTTCTCTTATAAAACCGTATAAATGTACCCGAATAAGCTCAATATAATAAAGTTGTCGATTGATCGATTACATTACCCCATCCCCCCCCCCACCCCCTTTTGGCACTCCTCCCCTCCCTATAAATCGTTACTATTTCGCGATTTCCTACAATAGAGCATATACATGTACTTCTAATTTAAAATCAAACCACTCTAGTAAGTAACCTTTTAGTTCTTGCGAACGTACTCCTGGAAATTGGGGGATTTAATATGAAAAATATAATATATTTTCGAAAACTTATAAAATACCATTTTTATAACTATTTGTTCAATCTCTACAGGGTTCAAGAAATAAGGTTGTCTCTAGAAATTTAAAAAATAGCCTTTTATTAAATTAGAAAAAAAATCCAACTGAAAATAGAGACAGGATTATCTTATTCGCGCTCTCTGGTAAAGACATACTTTACTCAATTTACTAAATGAAAAAAAGGGAGGATGCTATTCTTAGAAAAAGTTTAAAGATATCAAGACTTTAAATATATACAACTTTGATATAGACTAATACTTCGTATTCACCTCTTTTCAATGTCTAAAAAAAAAAATACTCGGCTTTTGTATTCTGTACTGAAACCTCGACATCATTGAATACAATAAAGGTTTTCATTTACGCCACGGGGTATTTTATCTTTGTTTTTTACTCTGGGGTATTGAATCCTTGACTGACATCTCTGAATTTCAAAGCTCTCTTTGCAGAAGGCTTAATGATCGTAATGTCTGCTTACAGTAATTTTTACAGGAAACGGGTATATAAGGATTCATTTACTCCTCTTCAGGGTTTTTTACCGATATTTGTTTTGAACCTGCGATATCACTGAATTCTACTAGTCTGCTAGGCGATTGGGTGGTAGTGGGGGGTTGGAATCCTTCTCAAAAGATAAAACAATCATGATGCCAAGGCCAGCGCTTATAAATTCCGCCTGGTGTCTGCTTTCAACCCCTATCACATAAACCACTTCATACATAATATTCATTTAAGATCGATCTTTGAGCTCAGGACCTTTTTTCATGAGTGATATATATATATACATTTAAATGAAATCTTTTTTTTTTTCTAGTTTCTTCAAAAAGGTAGGTATGTCTCGATTTCGCTCATACACAAATGACTGAACAATTTGTTAACTGGCATTGCGTCAAGAGTAAGCTTATTTGACCCATATGTTTGCTTTTCAGGGCATATCTGAAGAAAAGATAGCTTGCCAGGCAAGGTAACATACGCCCACTACAAGATCTTCATGATGCATAGTAGTTATTTATCATATTAATCATAAATTTTGTTTTTAAATCAATAGCAATAACTCAAATACCCTTCATCGAAAAATCCTTGTATTGGAACTAAATTCTCATCAATTAAAATGATCAAACCAAATTTCATCATAATCGGATGAAGATGATCACACCAAGATTCATTAAAAGCAATTGAAAACTGTAGTCTCTATAATTATGTTCAAAAACAATAACAAAATCAATAACTCAAAAATTGTTCATCAAAAAATCATCTTATTCGAACTTGATTGAGATCTCATGAAATTAAATAATCATACCAAATTTCATTAAAAATCGAATGGAAAGTGTAGTTTCTATTGCGCTCACGAACAAATTTGGACGCGTTTTTACTAAGTCAAGGGCAATAATTCAAAGACCGTTCATCGAAAAATTCAAACTTGACCAAGATCTCATGAATATAAATCATCACACCAAATTTCAGTAAGATCAGATAGAAACTGTAGTTTCTATAGTGCTCACAAGAAATGTGGACGTTCCGACGCACAACGGCAATATAAGTTCATATTTTCCACATGTGGGCGTATAAAAAAGCTACTTTTTACAGAATCGATTACTTGGAATAGAAAGGTTCCACGTACCCTTTTTTAATGGCACGATGTCGGCACTATTACGAATGTATTAAAGATCAAATTATCTAAAATGGATATTTTCTGAATTTTTGCTCTTTCTAAATCGAGCAGCATAGTTCTTGTATCAATATTTAAGGTATGTTAAAATTAATTTTATCATCAGTATGAACAATTGATTATTTTTTTGTGTTCAATATACATATGCAATCAATATGTCATCGGTCTTACTTTAAAATAAACGCAATATTTCAGAAAGGCCACACAATATTTCTCGATTAGACTAACAAATTCATTCGTGTTATTATTCCTAGTTCTACCAACAATTTACAAATGCCAAGTAACAGCATCGTGAGCATGAACAAATAATCATTTTTGTACAATCAATTTATCATACTTTAAAATCAAAAGAATATTTCAGGTAAAGGTCAAACATTATTCCCGGATTAAACTGACACATTCAACAGTGTTTTTGAAGATTAAAAGCAAAATGTTCTCTTTAAAATCTGTATGTGGTTTGTCGAAGTCATTAAGGATAGCTAGAGACAATGGTGATGATTGCACCGGGGAATACGGTCGTAATGAATATAGTTTGTTTATTTATCAGAGTATGAATAGAAATGTTTGGATGATTGAATGGAAACTAAGTTTAATTAGTTATGTCAATAGTCAACTGATAAAAATATAACATCAATCACAACATACAAATTACCCTATAGCTTTTATACGTCATCGAGAATAACAGTAAACGCAAGGACGTATGGCATACAAAATCCATAAGGGATGAAAGGCGATGTGGGTACACCCATAACTTTATTCGCCCCCTTGCAACCTTCGAACAAATTCTCAATTGAAGCTGAAATCAGTCTCTATCAGCTTTTTCCCCTCATGCAAATGCGGCCGCCCCCTTGGCAAATTGGGCTGGTTTCGAGCCTGGACGTAGGGGAGGGGGGGGGGGGGGGGGGACTTGGCGGAAAAGGGAATGGTGTTGCAAAATATGGTTCTGGTAAAGGTTCAGAATCATCGCAGGATGGGGGCGTGGAGGTGATGTTATCAAAGGTTTCAGACAGAGCTAGAATCATCATAGCAAAACATCACCTATGGCATACAAATAACCTTGTAGCTTTTTTACGTTATCAAAAATAACAGGAATGCTGAAGGACTTAGCGGAAAAGGGGAAGGTGTTGGAAAAAAGGCTTTGGGTAAAAGAAGATCAGAAACAACTGATATAAAGATAAATCACAAAATATTATACCCTATAGCTGTCATGCGTCATCAAGAATGAAAGGCGATACGGGGAGGGGCATGGCAAAGAAAGGGATGGTGTTGTAAAATAGGTTTTGGGTACAGGATTAGAATCAACTGATATTAAAATAATCATAGCATCCAGATTACTCTGAAGCTTTATACGCCATTAAGAATAACAGGGATGGTGAGGAGAAAAATGGCAGAGAAAGGGATGGTGGTTCTCAAGGATTCCAGTAACACACAAAAAAAATCCAAATCATTATTGGTTTGATTCTAAAATACAAGCCTACCACCAGCCGGATGCTTGGTTGATAAATTGGTTGAGAATCACACAAGGATTGGGGCATGGAGGATGTGGTGTTATAAAATGTTTCGAATATAGATATTGTGAAGAGCTAAAATATGATATCCGGTGATAAAGAGGCTAGGATAGTCATTACAAAACATCACTATAGCATACAAATTACCGCAAAACTTTTATAAGTCTTTAAAAATAACAGAAAAAGTGTGGTTGGCTGGTGCCGTGGGATGGACGATTGGGGGGTGGAATGTGAGAGGTATTTACACCACAGAAAACGTACGATAATCGCAGATAGAAGGCATCGTGAAGTGACGTTGTTGTAGAAAAGGAGAAAAGCCATAAGGAAGCTCAATATGATGAATATAAAATTACAAACCTTCATGTCCGTCACCTGACAGGACATTAGATCATCTTTCCGTCAGCCATTCTCGATTCCATGCAGTCATCTCCCTTCTATAATACCGGAAACCATATTAGAGGGAAACATTGGTTTTCTTCAGTAGAAATGAATCTATTCGGAATCTTTTTCATTGTTTGATTAGTTTTGAGAAATCTTTTTTCTAAACGCAGGGACATAGATCAACTCGTCTGTAGTTGAATGCGCGTGCAGACTTCAAATCAAGAACATTTGATGGGGAACAACTCCCATGTATACTTAATAACTTCAGACCACAAATATTGTTATTTTAAGCCACTTTACTTTTCGATAATATAAAAATTTTCTATGCACACTATAGAGAAACATGTCACAGGAACGATAACTCTTATCAAATGCAAGGTGTACCCTAATCTCAAAAAACTGATGTAATAAAAATATGTGATAAAAATATTTAATAAATACATGTATAAATAATTCAGATGGAATAAACAATGGGCAGAATGAATAATGCTCTTTGATTGGTTAATCAGGATAGTAGGACGTAAAACTCCATTACTTTCATTTCATTTTGATCGTTAAAAAATATATTATTTACTAAAACACTATTTAAAGGATCATGCATGAAAAATGGGAATAGAATGGAATATTGTAAATCAAATGTCTAAGATGCGGACGATACAATGATAATTTCAGATATTGGCAAATAGCATCCCCAAAAAAATCAAACCAGATAGTAATTTGTATTGTATTGCTAGCTGGGAAGGCTGGTACTCCTTTTCCAATGTGGATCATAATGTCGTCTTAGAATCAGGATCCCCCTACTTCACCCTGTCCCAAGGTGCTGAATTCACTTCACAATTTTTATGTCACGTTCTGTGATAAACAGCTGATAAAAAGTTTTCTTTTTTTCCATCGAATGGTTTCTTCACCTGGAAGATAATGGTTTATAAATCAATATTATTTATAATAAAACAGTTTTTGGAACAGGTTCCACCCATTCAGATGAAATTAACCTTATAACCAAAATTAGCTTTCCTGATCTTTAGTGTGTACAGTGTCAAGTGTCCCTCCTGTCTAAGTTAAGATGCTTTACATGAGGAAATATAAAGAAGACAACAAACCTTAAACCCAGCTGTTTCAGCCATTTCTGTTATCTTGGAACCATATTCTTCAATTTGTTCAGGTTTTAATTCTATCATAAACCTACAGATAGAACACATAAAAATTTGAAACTAGCGAATATATTGTGCACCCCTTCTTATCCTTCAAATCTGTCCACTGTAAGTAATGTTCACACCATCCTGACAAAAAATATCAACTAGATGGCTTAAGACAGACACATTATTGAGTGTTAATATCGTGTATATGTGTCTTAAACTGCAGTTGGCTTTGATTTTTACCTGTTATATTTGATAAGAATACAGAGCATTGACAAAAAAAAGTCTAAAATCAAATTCTATCCTTTTCGATTTTACTTTTTTATTCTTTAAATTCAATATTTTCATTTGTTTCCTAGACTACTGTCAAAGCAATTGTATTGTCTAAAATAAAACAGGCCCAGCCCACATCCCAGACAGAACAGAAAACTTACTTAGCTGATTCTAAGATTAAACTGGCATCATCTTTTAGAACAGAAGTAATATCAGGTTTCAGATGGTGCACCATACTGAAAAATAATGTATTAAGATTTCAGATCAATATCAACATAATATTGAAATATCAAACATCATTGCTTTTGATTTCCAGATAAACTTAAACTTAATATGAAGATGATGTACAAAAGAAATGAAATAAAATTGTGCTTTATGTCCATTGAATTGGTGGATTTTTACATCCTACTTTTGATGTAGATGGTAGCTTTATGTCAAACTTCTTTTAATTCTTAATTTTTTATTCCATTTTTCGCTTGAAGCAATTTTCCAGCACACCTTGTAAAACAATTCTGTAGTTCTAATACTCTAGAAACAGCGTTTCGTTTCGTATATTTGCGTGTTATTTACTTTCTTACTTTTGGTACTAAAATATGTTTTATCAGAAATCAGCAAATGAAGATAAAACTTTTCAATGTAGTGTGCATATTTTTTAAAAAAAGGGTTTTATATTTTTATTATACTTACCTATTAGAGAAGTATAACATATGAAATAATTTTTGATATTTGGATTTCTTCTTGACATCATCAATTGAGTTAATAGGAAGGAAGGTGATTTTTACATTGTCAACTGGTATCATTTCTGAAAATATATATCAAAATGAATCATAAAATTATTAACATAATATACACAAAAATACTACAAAGACTATCAACGCAAAGCAATGAATCGGAGTTGACAATAAGCATCTACTGTGCTGGTATTTGAGTTTGTCAACTTTGCATCCCTTTCAAAAAGTAAATTATCTAATAAAACATTTTTAGTATTTAGGTTTGTCAGCATGGCATCCATTTTAGAGAATTCGTATAACTAATAATATTCAATTAGTATTTAGTCCAATTAAGAAACCAGAAAGATATTTAGGAGGAATTGAAACATATAACCTTCAAAGAAACTAGCAAGAAACTAACCTTTATGTTGATTATCTGCCTCCTGGTTGCCATTAGTTACTGATGATGTCACTTCCTCTTCTGCTTCTTCTTCCTCTTCTGTTATTTCTATGTAATTATAAAATTAATCACTCTAATCGTATTATGTAAATAAAAATTGTGTATACAAAAAAAGTATGAAGAGAGTAATTTAAATATATTTCATTTTGGCACTTTTCAACTTTTTACAGCCTGAAAAACTTCATTTCGAGTGTAAGCAAAAATCATCTCCAACAGACCTCACACTCTTCTGAACTTCAAAATGAACACAATCTAATACAAATTACCTGTAAGCTTGGCTGACTCAGGTTGAGTTTCTGGTTTAGGTAAGATATACCTATCTTTGTTTATTAATTCATACAGTAGAGACATCACGTTATATTCACATACATTCTCACATGTCTACAGTTAAAATACAAAGTTTCAGTTTTCTCAGAATTCTTGTTTTAATGAAGACTAACATCACAAGTTACGACCTACTTTTAAACATAAATGAATTGAAAATGAGTTTCACTTTTCTGCTTTGAGTGAACTAATCACTAATTAAGACATGCATTGCCACTCTGCGTGCATTGAAGAAAGGACAATTAGCCAGGATATTAGGTTGATTTCCAATGTGCAGAGCGAAGCGCATGATTACAACATAGATAATTAATGGTAGACATCCTTCATGTCACGTTTTCATTTTAATCACTACCATTATTGAGTAGCAAAAATTTAAAAACACAAACCTTTGTATATTGATCATTGTTTTTCTTAAAAAATGATTTTTCCTCTGATTCAATACCAAAAGTTAGAAAGGGTCCAACAACCATGTCACCCCAGTAACCACGGCGAGCATGTTTCTCTCCCTCCTGGAAGATACGAAATATAGAATTATTACAATATAATTCTTTATTTCAAAACAGGCGGTTAAGGTAAGGATTTTTTCATCTGAAATATGTGTGTTAATTCTCTGCTTCTAATTGAGCTAGAATGTGTACGGATATGCAGTGTGCTGTAAGAGAAATTTTGCCACCACAGTCTTTCATGATTTAAAGCAAACAGAACATAACACATATAAACTTCTTTGAATGGCATTTAGCAATTGTGAGTACAATATATA